AACATTACTACACGTTTGATTTTCTTATACTGAATCATGAATAAATTCTTGGTATAAATGGGGTAGGACTTTATTCATATAATCACATTGTATTATCATAGGACTTTGAAAAAAAAAAAAAAAAAATACGATGAATTTTGATCATACTTGACATGATATGGCAGCAGCCAGTGGAAAGCCCTCACGTATTGGTGTTGCCAAACTGCACTTGATTACTGGTCAGCCGTTAACTGAAAGCCGCGTGCGGCTGACGGTTTTGCAGAAGAACATGTGTTTCAGTCGCAAACAAAACTGTATCTTCTAAGTCAATGTTGAATCTTGACCCTTGAATTGTTTTCAACATAGAAATACAGGTGTTTGATTCGTTGAATCTGAGAGAGACACGTAGCCGACAGCCCAGCACTTGTCACATGCTTGTCGCCTGTCAACCCGATTTACTTGTTGAATTTGACTTGTAAAACTTACAAACATTACGGTCGCCCTTTTTTTTTATTGTTTGACAATTTTGCCCTCTCCCAAGTCACTTCCTGTTTGGTGAAAATAAGGTGGTATTTATTTTATTTTTATTTCTAAAATCTTGATCTTCTTTAATGTTGTTTAGATTAATTGGATATTTAAATTCAAATTTATAAGAACACTATTCAATCTAATTGTTTTATTGGGGAATCTGAATAACGTTACCGGAGGGGTAAGCTAGGATGCATTTGGTTCAATATTTTTACCCATATTCCTAATCATATTCCTCAAATATTATTTGACACATTATTCTAAAAATATTAGTGTATTTATTTTAACTACTTTTAGACCCCTTAAGTTTATTAATTTCACTAAATACACCTAGAAAAAAAGTTTAAAAATTAGCAAAAACACCTCCATCCACCCATATTTGCCAGAATCTGTCACAACGGCTTACACCAAGCCTGAAACTTGCCATTATTCTGGCCTTTTCAGGTCAGATCCATAATGGATCTAAAGAAATATCAACGACGGCCAAAACTTGGTTATCGTTGACCGAAAACAACGGTCATATCTTTAAAATATCAACGACGGCCAAAACTTGGCTATCGTTGACCGAAAACGACGGCCAAAGGTAGACCTTTGCGGTCGTCGACGACCACATTTGACCGTAGATCTGGCCTTTTCTATTCAGATCGATGTGTTACGACACAAATCTGACTGATATGTGTCATAACACAATTTTTTGACTAAATTCTGGCGGTAGTGGTCGGAATCTGGTATCCGGGTAATGGGGATGTTTTTATCAATTTATATATTGAGGTGTTTAATTAAATTAGCAAACCTTGAGGTTTTTTTATAAATTTTTAAATTTTATCTTGTAAATTCATAATACTTTTCTATCCAACTACCCAAAATTATTTCCAAAATCTTATCCAAAATAATGAACCAAATCGTATGCTTAAATTTTGAAAAATGGAACCGACACTGTTTTGTTTGAACGAATGGACAAATGGCACGAACTTCTATGATCATTGCGTCACACTATACTTCCCTACTACAAGAGTACCGTATCTTATTCCACGTGCCATCTCTTCATTGGCTTCACATTTGTATATATACACATACACCCCCTACCCATTACAACCTAACAAAAACAGGTAGCCGTAGCTGGTATGCAATTGCAATGTCAAACGACACTACTACTGATTCCCTGGAGACTGACGACGTCAGCATCACCATGAATTTCGACGACACTGAACTGACCTTGGGGTTACCTGGTGAAGGTCGTTCCCCGGCAGCTGTAACCGGAGGAAAGAGCTGTGCCAAACGAGGATTCATGGAGACCGTTGATCTTAACCTTGGGAGCTCTCACTGCCAGCAACACGGGACGACTACCCATGTAAACAATAACTCCGAAAGTCCAACCGGAAAACTCCCAGCTGCCAAGTAAGACTAGGATAAACTTTATCATATATGTTGATGAAGCAGTGCACGCATGTAGTCATAGATGTTAAGATCGTGGATCATTTATATGTATGTGGAAGTTAAACTTCTTTCTTTCTTTCTTTCAACAAGTACAAGTTCAGAATTATGGAATGTTATGAATTATATTTAGATGTGAATGATTTTGCAGGGCGCAAGTTATTGGGTGGCCGCCAGTTCGATCTTTCAGAAAGAAGGCACTAGAGAAGTCCGGTAAGCTTGTAAAAGTGGCGGTAGATGGAGCACCGTATCTGCGAAAAGTGGACCTGGAAATATACAGTAGCTATGAAGAGCTACTGAGGGCTTTAGAGAAGATGTTTACCTGCTTCACCATCCAAGGTCAGTATTTATTTATTCATTTGTATTTAGAAAGATATTGTTTAGAGTTTAATTATATGTGTAACTAATAATTAAAATAGGCAATGGTATGGAGGAAAGCAATAAGGAGATGGGTCCAGTTGCAGTGAAGGGAAGGGAATATGTGGCAACATATGAAGACAAGGAGGGCGATTGGATGTTAGTTGGAGATGTTCCTTGGCAGTAAGTTCTGAAAATTCTTGATACAAGAATGGAGACTCGACTTGTATTTTTATATTTCCAACATATCTTCTTCTCGTTTATGCTCCTCTGCTTTTTTTATGTGTTGCGTTGTCTCAATCTTTATATATTCCCATTTTCAGACTTCGATCATATCCCTTTCAATTATCTTAAATTACTTCCTGTGATCGGCATCAAATCTTATAAGATAAACCTATATAATTAAAAACTAGATTTGGACTACTTACAACAGGATTAATATAGATACAGTATCTTGTTTATCTTATGGAAAGATCGGTTACATTTATTTCCTTTAATATATATATATATAAACTGATCTGAGCAAAGCCTTCTATTACCCGTTTGTTTGTTCTTCTTTAGTTTAGGTTGCTAATTAATGGTTTTTATTATAGAATGTTCATGGAATCATGCAATCGTATCCGATTAATGAAAAGCTCGGCGGCTATGGGGTTAGGTAACTGATCTCCTCCTCCTCTACAGTTTCAACTCATAATCTAAATTTTTTTCTCTTTCTTAATATTTGTTTGTTTTACTTAATTACACTTATTGATTATTAAATTTCATGCTTATTGTAGCTGTGAGGACTCCGACAAACTCCTCCATCTCAAGTTAAAAATTGAAACAAAATGTTAGAGAATCCAAGGGTGACTACTAATGACATTATCATGTACAGTAATAGTTTTTCTGGTTGAGGGATAAAATAAGAGAGAAATCTGGGCTGTAGAGTTTTTTTTTTTTATTTCCCTTTTCTTTTTTTCATGGTGTGGTGAAGCCCACTTATAATTATTGTTTGTCTCATAAAAGTGTGCTCCAATAATCTCTGTGTTCTCCCTCTTCCTTTTCATCTTCTGATTTGATGCTTGCATTGCTCAAAACGATTAACACAATTCCCCCTTTTCTAGAATCCTTTAAAATTTTCATTCAATTATATGAAATCAACCTAAATTACAATCAGATTGCCTGGAATCCACTAAAATTACTTCCTAGTTTTGCTAAAAAGGGCATCATTTAGCGCAGGATGAGGATATATATATAATAATATAATGAAATAGAAATACAGAGGAGAGTCCAGAAAGGAGAGGCCCATAAATAATAAAGCAAAAATTGATGGTAACAAAATCATTGTACTCTCTCTTTCTTTTTTACCAGCTTGGAAGTGCATGCATTGTCCCTAATCATGATAAATATTCTCTCAATAATAATAAGCTTCTTGGATCCATAAAAGTTTATGCTGTTCTTTTAACCCACTAAACAAAATAATTTGCTACAGAGTTTAAACTACCTAGACTGTAGATTGTAGATTATGGGGATTACAGCTAGCCTACTGATTTACTGGAAAAGGGTTAATGAAAAAATATAGCAACGTCAAATACTAATTATCTTTGTATAAACTAGTTTGATTAAGTATATTATTACATTATCTCTATTTAATTTTAAAATTTATTGTATAATTTATTATTTGATAAAATAATATAGTATTATTTTTAGTCATTTTAATAATAAAATATACTTATAAACTATATTTTATTAAACGTGTCAATTACTTATTAATTATTTATAAATATTTTAATTAGCTTAAAATTTCAAAATAGTTTAAATTAACTTATAAGCTTATAAACAAGCCCTAAATAAAAAATACAAGAGGAAAGGTTCCATGAATCTTATTATGGAAAGCAATAACCAGTCTGAGTTTGACTTTTATAGCGCAACACAACACAGAAAACAAAAAGAGTGGTTAAAAATGGTGAGTTGACTATTACTGTATTACATGACATGGGTAGAAATTATTAATGTTTTCTTTCTTTGTTTCGATCACCAAGAACACCAATAAATAAAAAAGATGACTTACTTTTTTACTGTAGTATTATATATATGTTCAAGATTACATGAGAGAAATGAGGAATGCAAAATAAAATATGTTTTGAGTCTGTTACTTTATACTTTCTGTCAATTTGAAGTTTCTTTTATTTGCTTGTTTATTAAGTGATTGAATATTATGAATTTGGTGATTGGTTAAATGGATCATGTATATATAAATTGATTAGACAAATTCCAAGTTTTGATGGAAATGGAAATTATCAGATCGAATTCCAATTAACCAAAGAGAATCTAAACATTATTGGACAAACACAGGGTCCCAAACTGTATTATTATACAACTTTATTTTTTTTTCTTTTTTACCTTCTCCTGTTAGTTCTGTACCTGCATCTGCAATTCTCAGAAAATGCCACACCTCTTATTCTCTTGTATCGAGGAACCTCTCTTCATCTTTCATGGAGATCCATCAGCATCCTCTCAAAACACCGTAAAGTAAAATGCCCCTCTTCATAACCATTTTAACATTACATTATTAACTATGCATTTCTTTTTGTCCCTTCTTTTTTAGTTCAACGTCTCTCTCTCTTCCCCCTATAACATTTCAAACATTCAACAGGTTCTCTCTCTCTCTCTCTCTCTCTCTTTAATTCTTTAGTTTTGCTTTAATGCATCAGCTTTTATTTCTGCTCTTTCGTTTGATGTTGAATTATTTTAAATACTGTTGCAATCTTATATTTGTGTCGGTGTTTGTGATCCTAAAGCCTTTTAAGATCTGGGGTTTGTCCTTTTTTTTTTCATGTTTTGAAATTTGGTTTAGATCCTTGTTAAATTTACTCGTTGGTTCTCATTATTCACCCAGATCTATTGTTTTAGTTCTCCAATTTCATGTTATGGTCAAAACTTAAGTGTTTGATTTGCATATGTTCAGATCACTGTTGATGGTAAACCTCTGTTTCCTTCTAGATTATGACCATTATTTTGTTGAATTTGTTTTTCAGTTCTCTTGTGTGTGGACGATTTCCATAAACTTGATCTGGGTTGCCTTTCTTACTTTATAGAATTGGAACTTGTTCCTTTTGTAACTCTTGAGGTTCACTGTATCTAGATGCTCTACTAGTGTAATGTAGTAATGCTGATTTTTGACTAGGAGTATGCATCGTGTCAACAATAAACTATATTGTTGTGCCTCTGAAACTACTGCTTAGGACTTTTCATGGTGTATTTCCAGTAAATAATAACCTAGCTATTTTATTGTAATTTTTTACCATGCTATGTTTTTGTCTTCCTGTTGCCATTATCATTTTTCGGACTTTATATGAGTTTTAGTATTATTTTCAGTGGCTTCTATTATTGATCCATTCTGTTAAAATTATTGTATATAGTCCTCTCTGAATGCTTTTATCTGCAGATATTGTGTCATGAGATTAAGAATTTAAGTCTAGGATAAGATCTTCTGTATTAACAAATTTTAGCATGAATCCATTTGTCTGCAACTGAATCATAATTGTTGAATCACTTCTGAATTACTCTGAAATTTCTGTACTGATATTCAAATCCTAGACTGTCTCAGTTTCTTTTGCTAGTGTATTGCTACGTCAACCCTTCCCTTCCACTTTCTGATTCTTTCTGTATCCCGTAAATGAATTTCAACTGTGGTCCAGACACTTATTCTGCTGAAGATTGCTGCATTCCCACCATGCTCAAGCAAATTCTAAGCAAACTTCCTCGGAAGTCACCAAAATCTGACCCACTAGATTCAGCTGAGACTAATTCTGGCAACAATGTAATTCAATGTACAAACGGAGGGAATAGTCTTTCAACTCGACTGAGTGTTGTTAAACGAGTCTCTTCAGCTGTTTTTCCTGCAAGCATCATGGCTGGAGTGGAAGCTGTGGAGCCTCACCTATCCTTCAAAGATGTGTCAAATCAGCAAAAGCAGAACCTATTTGTCAGTAAGTTGAATCTTTGCTGTGAGGTTTCTGATTTCAGCGATCCTGAGAAGAATAATGCTCAGCAAGATCTTAAACGACAGACACTGATAGAACTTGCTGATTTTGTTTCTTCTGGATCTGCAAAATTCACTGAACCAGCAATTTCTGCAATGTGTAGAATGTGTGCAATTAACCTGTTTAGGGTTTTTCCACCCAAGTGTCGTTCTAATGGTACTGGTGGTGAAGCTGAAGATGAAGAACCTATGTTTGATCCTGCTTGGTCACATTTGCAAATTGTGTATGATCTACTCCTGCGGTTTACCAGTTATAGTTCTCTTGATGTGAAGGTGGCAAAAAAGTATGTAGATCATTCATTTATTTTGAGATTACTTGAGCTCTTTGATTCGGAGGACCCAAGAGAAAGGGACTGTTTGAAAACAATTTTGCACAGAACTTATGGGAAATTCATGGTACACCGGCATTTTATTCGACAAGCTGTTAGCAATATCATATATCGTTTTGTTTTTGAAACTGAACGGCATAATGGAATTGCCGAGCTGTTAGAAATATTTGGGAGTATTATTAGTGGGTTTGCATTGCCACTGAAGGAAGAACACAGAATATTCTTATGCAGAGCTTTGATTCCTCTACACAAGCCAAAATCAGTGGGTATTTATCATCAACAATTAACATATTGTGTTGTACAGTTTATAGATAAGGATCCAAAGTTGGCAACTACTGTGATTAAGGGACTGTTGAAGTACTGGCCAGTAACAAATAGCCAGAAAGAGTTGATGTTTATAAGTGAGTTGGAAGAGGTTTTGGAGATGACTAGCATGACCGAGTTCCAGAAGATAATGGTCCCACTTTTTCGGCGCATAGGATGCTGCCTCAATAGCTCCCATTACCAGGTATAATTTTGTCTTTATTAAGTGCTTGCTTCTAAACAAAGTGTTTATTTTGGTTGGCATCTTTAACTCTATTTTTTCCATGTAGTTCTCGACTTTGGTTAATTAACAAATTCAAGCTATTTTATCTACTCTTCTGTTCACATGTTCGTTCTTTTGTTTTTGTTGAACTAGAACACTTTTCCTCGTTTTGTAGAAAGACATATTGTGATGGTTAAGGTGAAGAAGTTGTCATAAATCAATATAAAATTGTGATCATGAATCTAAAAATAAGGATTCTATGGTAATATATATCCCTTTAAGCAATCGATAACTAGCTTGTACAATAGTCAATTGATTTTTAGATTTATATGACTTATATAGAATTTTCATTTAAACTCGGTTTCTGTTACTTCTTCATGGTTATGGGTCTCTGAAAATTTAAATTGATGACAAATGAAATTCGCCAAAATAATTTGTGTTCTACTTATTGTGACCTTGAAAATTGGATGTACAGCTTAGGTTTGTGTTTCACCTCCATATTGGTGAGAGACACCTATATACGTAATGGGAATTATTAGTGCCCCATAAGCTGTTAGTTAGTATGGTGATACAATTGTCTCAGAACATAGTGAAGTTGTTTTCATTCTATTTTCTTCTGTACCAATTTCAGGTAGCTGAACGGGCTCACTTGCTGTTGAACAATGAACACGTCCTTAATCTTGTTAAACAAAACCGCCAAGTCATTGTGCCTCTTGTCTTCTCGGCTCTTGAACGGAATGCCCAGAATCACTGGAACCAAGCAGTACTTAATCTGACACAAAATGTAAGGAAAATGTTCTGTGAAATGGATGAAGAGCTAGTTCTTGCTTGCCAACATAAAGTAGAGGAGGAAAATTCCCTATTAATTGTGGAAGCTGAGAAGCGCAAATTGACTTGGCAACGCCTGGAAACTGCGGCTGGCTTCCAACCCTCTGCTGATTATATTATGACTCCCATGAAGCCTGCCATATGCTCTGTCGCATGCTAATTGCTTGAGCATATTATTTGGAAAAGAAAAGAAACATACTACATCAGCTCGATTGCCGAAACAGAAGTTGGTTGTTGAATTTGGGCAGGTTTAGGATGCAAATAGGGTTTGTATCTATACTAAGATGTTGTGTGGAGCAGTAATGCTGCTGTGATAAAGGTTTATTTGACATTTGGGTGTCTAGTCGGAAGAGCCCTTTTGCTTGCAGTTGTGTATTGACGTCTCCTTATATCATTGTCAAAGGCTGTTTGTTTTGCCCAGAATTTATTCTTGTAAGAATTGTATTTTCTTTTCTGGTTAAGAATATGAAGATCCTGGTTTCGACACCAGAATACTATAGGATGTGTATTTGAGGTTAGTCTGTATTAAAGTCTAAATGTGATCGCCATAGCAATTTGGTGGTGGTATTTTGGGACAATGGTACTGCTGAGTTTTTCATCCTAACAATCAAATTCAATCTGCACCAATCAGTCATTTTAAGAAAAAAAAGTTATAATAAAATTAGTCATTAGCTCGTCTTGTAACGTCCGGACTGCACTGTCTGTTCTCTGTACATGGGAGAGAACCCAATAATAGTAGCTTTTACTTTTGAGGAGAAAATAATAGTATTAGTATGAGCTGTAAATGGTTGATGTGCCCATGTGAAAGCTTATCTGGAATAGGAATGTGTTGATATGGAAATATTTAGACAACAAGGATTAAACCCAATTCAAAATAAATAAGAAAAGATCCCACCACCACGTCTCCTCCTCCTAGTGCCAATATCGCCCTCACCCACTTCACTTCTTACAATCTTTAGATTCCTTTGCTTATCTTTTTAAGCTACCCTACCTTGTGAAATTTTAGTACAGTAATTATTTATTTATTTATTAGAGAGAGAATGTATGCAGCACCAGCACCTGGTTCTCAAGAAATGGCATACTATGATCATGTCCGGAGGCGCCATTAAGAAAAAGGGCTGCCTTTACCCTTGCTTTGTCTATCTTTTGGTTGCCTTAATTATAGCCTTTGTTTCTAATACTTTCTTCTTTGTTTTGGTTTCTATCTTTTTATATTAGTCCATGTATCTTTAATAATCTACTTGTTAGAGACGATGGGGCTGTAAAGAGATCTTGTTTTCGTTGATCCTCAATTATGAAGAGAAATTTGCGCTAGAAAAGAAATAATCTCATTATTTGTTTAAACTTTCAACTCATTAAGTAATACAAAAAAATTATTGTTGTGTCGACTGCAGTTTATTGGCGCTGTGTTGCTGTTTCTGCTACTTCTAGATGTTCTCGGGCTCTGCTTTTTGCCTGTTACTGCGCTGTCTGATGTAACCAAACTGAATAGTAAATAAAATGTTGTGTTGTATGTAGTTTCTCCATCTGATATTCTCTCCTAAACTTTCTATGGTTTTAATCTTATTGTGAAACCAACCCTCTTCTACATATGCTCCCACTCCCCCCCTGCTGCAGGGAAATTGTGAACCCAGAAAGCTATATGCTTATATTTTGTGCATTTGAATGGACTTAATGTTCTGTTTAACCTCTAGATATTTCCGGCTGACATCAAAACTAAATTAGTTACCTAGTAAGACGGTATGATTTCAGTGATGAATTTCATTCGCGCAACATGGTTGCTCACTGTTGGCAGATTATAAGTCTACATCCCAATCCTAATTAAGAAATGGTTTACCACCAAATCAAAATTCTCGCACTGCATACACTGAAAAGTTCGAAGTGCAGCAGACACAGAACAAAGCTCATTAAGTTATACACGAGCAAAAATTAGCTTCTGGTTGACTAGACATTTTAGCCATTTCCGGGCTTAATTGCCATAGATGGTAAAAAGGTTGAAATTCTAGTAAATTGTCTAAAATAATATATCTATAATATAAACATGTTTTCTGCATGCTATCCCTTTCTGGGTTGATCGTCTTGCTAATGTTTTTGCCTTTTGATCTTCAGAAAACCAAATGAAAATCTCATCTTTTATTATGCCAGCTTCAATGAGTTTGTATTAAGGATACATTTCGTATCTGAATTATTCATTCTCAAAATTCATATAATTCAGTACACATTATTGGATTTCAAAATATGTACACACAGGCAACAGCAGTAAGCACTGATGTCAGCATTATCGACACAAAGTTCACGGCATTGTTGTCAAGAATGGTAAGACCTGAAATTTTCTTCACTGTTGGTCCTGGTTTTCCAACAACCTGAAAGAATGATGACAAATCCCTTAGGCTTAAAAAATCTAAAAACAATCTATCCTATGGTCCTCAAGTTACATCAGAATGGTAATCCCAGAAGCTCTATGCTGATCTGGTTGTAAACTCATGAAACTATATTTAACTTACCTTTTTACGAACAGTACAGAATCCACTGAATTGCAGTGTTGCTCCTAGCAGAGAATCTATGACACTTCCAAATAATCCTGCCAGTGTAGAGAGGGGAATAACCAATAACTGCTTCAGAGCTGCATCATATGTACATTTTGTGGTGAGAAATCCAAAGAGTACAAATGTCAGTCCAGTGACACTGCCGGCTGCCATAGCTGCCAGGAGTCCTGCTTTTGTCACACCACCATTTGTGCCCCTCCGAACAGGCTAACACCCATGAAAGAACCAAATTAGATACACCTCTACTGAAAATTAAAGAACACATTAGTTTCCTCCAGTCTGAATAACCATTAACAATGAAAGAAATCACAATATGTCAGATGCCAGTCTAGCAATTAGAGAGAACATGAGCTCTACAAGGGAATATGGATGATGTATGACCACCACAAATCAAATATTTCCAAGTCCACTAATAATTAATTATAAAAGACAGAAGAATGAGAGGATAAAATATAAAGGAGAATGAACAAGAATTCACAAATCAACCATAAAGTCATTCGAAGCAAGTCAGTTCAAGTTACGCTTTGGCATGCAACATAGTTAATCAGCATCTGCAAGATTAAGCATCAACACATGACCAAGTAGAACCTTGAACAATTAAAACTTTAAAAGAGAGTGACATAAGCAGATCCCTCAACAAATATAATAATAATATTAACTGCATCACCACATTACACAATCTTCATTGCGCATTGCAGAGGAGAATTGACCAAATTAAATAGCAGTTCTCCATGTAATTTATAGAAGCCCAGTGGCCAGTGTCAAATCAAGAAATTTACTAGGTGAGTCAAATAATTAGTATTAAAAAAATTGACAACCTCTTTTCATTGAATGATATTTAAAATTATAACAAAATTTAAATTAAACAAGGCATGACTTGTCAGCATAATTTTATATTACAAGAACCTTGATCTTTTTTACAGCTAAAATGGGGTGTATATATATATATATATAACATAATTATTATTGACTTAGATTTTTAGCCTGCATCCTGTGTTTCTAATGGTTAGGTTAATTTAAAATTGTACCCAAACCCTTCCCCAGAGTGCCATGCCGCCTTTGATATCAAAGAAGATGTTGGAGCCAATAATACACTGATGCTTTTCAAGTCTCAGCTGCCTGTGTGGAAATAGATGAACTGTTCAGGATGGTGGTATAATTGTCTCAGAACATAGTGAAGTTGTTTTCATTCTATTTCTTCTGTACCAATTTCAGGTAGCTGAACGGGCTCACTTGCTGTTGAACAATGAACACGTCCTTAATCGTTAAACAAAACCGGAAATCATTGTGCCTCTTGTCTTCTCGGCTCTTGAACGGAATGCCCAGAATCACTGGAACCAAGCAGTACTTAATCTGACACAAAATGTAAGGAAAATGTTCTGTGAAATGGATGAGAGCTAGTTCTTGCTTGCCAACAAAAGTAGAGGAGGAAAATTCCCTATTAATTGTGGAAGCTGAGAAGCGCAAATTGACTTGGCAACGCCTGGAAACTGGCTGGCTTCCAACCCTTGCTGATTATATTATGACTCCCCGAAGCCTGCCATATGCTCTGTGCATGCTAATTGCTTGAGCAGATATTTGGAAAAGAAAAAGAACATACTACATCAGCTCGATTGCCGAAACAGAAGTTGGTTGTGATTTGGGCAGGTTTAGGATGCAAAAGGGTTGATCTATATAAGTGTGTGTTGATGAGCTAATGCTGCTGTGATAAAGGTTTATTTGACATTTGGGTGTCTAGTCGGAAGAGCCCTTTTGCTTGCAGTTGTGTATTGAGTCTCTTATATCATTGTCAAAGCTGGGTTTTGCCCACAATTATTCTTGTAGAATTGTATTTTCTTTTCTGGTTAAGAATATGAAGACCTGGTTTCGACACCAGAATACTATGGATGTGTATTGAGGTTAGTCTGTATTAAAGTCTAAATGTGTCGCCATAGCAATTTGGTGGTGGTATTTTGGGACAATGGTATGCTGAGTTTTTCATCCTAACCATCAAATCAATGTGACCAATCAGTCATTTTAAGAAAAAAAAGTTATAATAAAATTAGACCTTAGCTCGTCTTAACTTCCGGACTGCACCGTCTGTCTCTGTACATGGTGGGAGAGAACCCAATAATAGTAGTTTTTACTTTTTAGGAGAAAATAATAGTATTAGTATGAGCTGTAAATGGGTGATGTGCCCATGTGAAAGCTTATCTGGAATAGGAATGTGGTGATATGGAAAATTTAGACAACAGGATTAAACCCAATCAAAATAAATAAGAAAAGATCCCACCACCACGTCTCCTCCTCCTGTGCTAATATCGCCCTCACCCACTTCACTTCTTACAATCTTAGATTCCTTTGCTTATCTTTTTAAGCTACCCTACCTTGTGAAATTTTAGTACAGTAATATTTATTTATTAGAGAGAGAATGTATGCAGCACCAGCACCTGGTTCCAAGAAATGGCATACTATGATCATGTCCGGAGGGCGCATAAGAAAAAGCGCTGCCTTTACCCTTGCTTTGTCTATCTTTGGTTGCCTTAATTAGCCTTTGTTCTATACTTCTTCGCATATGTTCAGATCACTGTTGATGGTAAACCTCTGTTTCCTTCTAGATTATGACCATTATTTTGTTGAATTTGTTTTTCAGTTATCTTGTGTGTGGACGATTTCCATAAACTTGATCTGGGTTGCCTTTCTTACTTTATAGAATTGGAACTTGTTCCTTTTGTAACTCTTGAGGTTCACTGTATCTAGATGCTCTACTAGTGTAATGTAGTAATGCTGATTTTTGACTTGGAGTATGCATCGTGTCAACAATAAACTATATTGTTGTGCCTCTGAAACTACTGCTTAGGACTTTTCATGGTGTATTTCCAGTAAATAATAACCTAGCTATTTTATTGTAATTTTTTACCATGCTATGTTTTTGTCTTCCTGTTGCCATTATCATTTTTCGGACTTTATATGAGTTTTAGTATTATTTTCAGTGGCTTCTATTATTGATCCATTCTGTTAAAATTATTGTATATAGTCCTCTCTGAATGCTTTTATCTGCAGATATTGTGTCATGAGATTAAGAATTTAAGTCTAGGATAAGATCTTCTGTATTAACAAATTTTAGCATGAATCCATTTGTCTGCAACTGAATCATAATTGTTGAATCACTTCTGAATTACTCTGAAATTTCTGTACTGATATTCAAATCCTAGACTGTCTCAGTTTCTTTTGCTAGTGTATTGCTACGTCAACCCTTCCCTTCCACTTTCTGATTCTTTCTGTATCCCGTAAATGAATTTCAACTGTGGTCCAGACACTTATTCTGCTGAAGATTGCTGCATTCCCACCATGCTCAAGCAAATTCTAAGCAAACTTCCTCGGAAGTCACCAAAATCTGACCCACTAGATTCAGCTGAGACTAATTCTGGCAACAATGTAATTCAATGTACAAACGGAGGGAATAGTCTTTCAACTCGACTGAGTGTTGTTAAACGAGTCTCTTCAGCTGTTTTTCCTGCAAGCATCATGGCTGGAGTGGAAGCTGTGGAGCCTCACCTATCCTTCAAAGATGTGTCAAATCAGCAAAAGCAGAACCTATTTGTCAGTAAGTTGAATCTTTGCTGTGAGGTTTCTGATTTCAGCGATCCTGAGAAGAATAATGCTCAGCAAGATCTTAAACGACAGACACTGATAGAACTTGCTGATTTTGTTTCTTCTGGATCTGCAAAATTCAGTGAACCAGCAATTTCTGCAATGTGTAGAATGTGTGCAATTAACCTGTTTAGGGTTTTTCCACCCAAGTGTCGTTCTAATGGTACTGGTGGTGAAGCTGAAGATGAAGAACCTATGTTTGATCCTGCTTGGTCACATTTGCAAATTGTGTATGATCTACTCCTGCGGTTTACCAGTTATAGTTCTCTTGATGTGAAGGTGGCAAAAAAGTATGTAGATCATTCATTTATTTTGAGATTACTTGAGCTCTTTGATTCGGAGGACCCAAGAGAAAGGGACTGTTTGAAAACAATTTTGCACAGAACTTATGGGAAATTCATGGTACACCGGCATTTTATTCGACAAGCTGTTAGCAATATCATATATCGTTTTGTTTTTGAAACTGAACGGCATAATGGAATTGCCGAGCTGTTAGAAATATTTGGGAGTATTATTAGTGGGTTTGCATTGCCACTGAAGGAAGAACACAGAATATTCTTATGCAGAGCTTTGATTCCTCTACACAAGCCAAAATCAGTGGGTATTTATCATCAACAATTAACATATTGTGTTGTACAGTTTATAGATAAGGATCCAAAGTTGGCAACTACTGTGATTAAGGGACTGTTGAAGTACTGGCCAGTAACAAATAGCCAGAAAGAGTTGATGTTTATAAGTGAGTTGGAAGAGGTTTTGGAGATGACTAGCATGACCGAGTTCCAGAAGATAATGGTCCCACTTTTTCGGCGCATAGGATGCTGCCTCAATAGCTCCCATTACCAGGTATAATTTTGTCTTTATTAAGTGCTTGCTTCTAAACAAAGTGTTTATTTTGGTTGGCATCTTTAACTCTATTTTTTCCATGTAGTTCTCGACTTTGGTTAATTAACAAATTCAAGCTATTTTATCTACTCTTCTGTTCACATGTTCGTTCTTTTGTTTTTGTTGAACTAGAACACTTTTCCTCGTTTTGTAGAAAGACATATTGTGATGGTTAAGGTGAAGAAGTTGTCATAAATCAATATAAAATTGTGATCATGAATCTAAAAATAAGGATTCTATGGTAATATATATCCCTTTAAGCAATCGATAACTAGCTTGTACAATAGTCAATTGATTTTTAGATTTATATGACTTATATAGAATTTTCATTTAAACTCGGTTTCTGTTACTTCTTCATGGTTATGGGTCTCTGAAAATTTAAATTGATGACAAATGAAATTCGCCAAAATAATTTGTGTTCTACTTATTGTGACCTTGAAAATTGGATGTACAGCTTAGGTTTGTGTTTCACCTCCATATTGGTGAGAGACACCTATATACGTAATGGGAATTATTAGTGCCCCATAAGCTGTTAGTTAGTATGGTGATACAATTGTCTCAGAACATAGTGAAGTTGTTTTCATTCTATTTTCTTCTGTACCAATTTCAGGTAGCTGAACGGGCTCACTTGCTGTTGAACAATGAACACGTCCTTAATCTTGTTAAACAAAACCGCCAAGTCATTGTGCCTCTTGTCTTCTCGGCTCTTGAACGGAATGCCCAGAATCACTGGAACCAAGCAGTACTTAATCTGACACAAAATGTAAGGAAAATGTTCTGTGAAATGGATGAAGAGCTAGTTCTTGCTTGCCAACATAAAGTAGAGGAGGAAAATTCCCTATTAATTGTGGAAGCTGAGAAGCGCAAATTGACTTGGCAACGCCTGGAAACTGCGGCTGGCTTCCAACCCTCTGCTGATTATATTATGACTCCCATGAAGCCTGCCATATGCTCTGTCGCATGCTAATTGCTTGAGCATGTTATTTGGAAAAGAAAAGAAACATACTACATCAGCTCGATTGCCGAAACAGAAGTTGGTTGTTGAATTTGGGCAGGTTTAGGATGCAAATAGGGTTTGTATCTATACTAAGATGTTGTGTGGAGCAGTAATGCTGCTGTGATAAAGGTTTATTTGACATTTGGGTGTCTAGTCGGAAGAGCCCTTTTGCTTGCAGTTGTGTATTGACGTCTCCTTATATCATTGTCAAAGGCTGTTTGTTTTGCCCAGAATTTATTCTTGTAAGAATTGTATTTTCTTTTCTGGTTAAGAATATGAAGATCCTGGTTTCGACACCAGAATACTATAGGATGTGCATTTGAGGCTAGTCTTGTATTAAAGTCTAAATGTGATCGCCATAGCTACTTGGTGGTGGTATTTTGGGACAATGGTACTGCTGAGTTTTTCATCCTAACAATCAAATTCAATCTGCACCAATCAGTCATTTTAAGAAAAAAAAGTTATAATAAAATTAGTCATTAGCTCGTCTTGTAACGTCCGGACTGCACTGTCTGTTCTCTGTACATGGGAGAGAACCCAATAATAGTAGCTTTTACTTTTGAGGAGAAAATAATAGTATTAGTATGAGCTGTAAATGGTTGATGTGCCCATGTGAAAGCTTATCTGGAATAGGAATGTGTTGATATGGAAATATTTAGACAACGAGGATTAAACCCAAATCAAAATAAATAAGAAAAGATCCCACCACCACGTCTCCTCCTCCTAGTGCTAATATCGCCCTCACCCACTTCACTTCTTACAATCTTTAGATTCCTTTGCTTATCTTTTTAAGCTACCCTACCTTGTGAAATTTTAGTACAGTAATTATTTATTTATTTATTAGAGAGAGAATGTATGCAGCACCAGCACCTGGTTCTCAAGAAATGGCATACTATGATCATGTCCGGAGGCGCCATTAAGAAAAAGGGCTGCCTTTACCCTTGCTTTGTCTATCTTTTGGTTGCCTTAATTATAGCCTTTGTTTCTAATACTTTCTTCTTTGTTTTGGTTTCTATCTTTTTATATTAGTCCATGTATCTTTAATAATCTACTTGTTAGAGACGATGGGGCTGTAAAGAGATCTTGTTTTCGTTGATCCTCAATTATGAAGAGAAATTTGCGCTAGAAAAGAAATAATCTCATTATTTGTTTAAACTTTCAACTCATTAAGTAATACAAAAAAATTATTGTTGTGTCGACTGCAGTTTATTGGCGCTGTGTTGCTGTTTCTGCTACTTCTAGATGTTCTCGGGCTCTGCTTTTTGCCTGTTACTGCGCTGTCTGATGTAACCAAACTGAATAGTAAATAAAATGTTGTGTTGTATGTAGTTTCTCCATCTGATATTCTCTCCTAAACTTTCTATGGTTTTAATCTTATTGTGAAACCAACCCTCTTCTACATATGCTCCCACTCCCCCCCTGCTGCAGGGAAATTGTGAACCCAGAAAGCTATATGCTTATATTTTGTGCATTTGAATGGACTTAATGTTCTGTTTAACCTCTAGATATTTCCGGCTGACATCAAAACTAAATTAGTTACCTAGTAAGACGGTATGATTTCAGTGATGAATTTCATTCGCGCAACATGGTTGCTCACTGTTGGCAGATTATAAGTCTACATCCCAATCCTAATTAAGAAATGGTTTACCACCAAATCAAAATTCTCGCACTGCATACACTGAAAAGTTCGAAGTGCAGCAGACACAGAACAAAGCTCATTAAGTTATACACGAGCAAAAATTAGCTTCTGGTTGACTAGACATTTTAGCCATTTCCGGGCTTAATTGCCATAGATGGTAAAAAGGTTGAAATTCTAGTAAATTGTCTAAAATAATATATCTATAATATAAACATGTTTTCTGCATGCTATCCCTTTCTGGGTTGATCGTCTTGCTAATGTTTTTGCCTTTTGATCTTCAGAAAACCAAATGAAAATCTCATCTTTTATTATGCCAGCTTCAATGAGTTTGTATTAAGGATACATTTCGTATCTGAATTATTCATTCTCAAAATTCATATAATTCAGTACACATTATTGGATTTCAAAATATGTACACACAGGCAACAGCAGTAAGCACTGATGTCAGCATTATCGACACAAAGTTCACGGCATTGTTGTCAAGAATGGTAAGACCTGAAATTTTCTTCACTGTTGGTCCTGGTTTTCCAACAACCTGAAAGAATGATGACAAATCCCTTAGGCTTAAAAAATCTAAAAACAATCTATCCTATGGTCCTCAAGTTACATCAGAATGGTAATCCCAGAAGCTCTATGCTGATCTGGTTGTAAACTCATGAAACTATATTTAACTTACCTTTTTACGAACAGTACAGAATCCACTGAATTGCAGTGTTGCTCCTAGCAGAGAATCTATGACACTTCCAAATAATCCTGCCAGTGTAGAGAGGGGAATAACCAATAACTGCTTCAGAGCTGCATCATATGTACATTTTGTGGTGAGAAATCCAAAGAGTACAAATGTCAGTCCAGTGACACTGCCGGCTGCCATAGCTGCCAGGAGTCCTGCTTTTGTCACACCACCATTTGTGCCCCTCCGAACAGGCTAACACCCATGAAAGAACCAAATTAGATACACCTCTACTGAAAATTAAAGAACACATTAGTTTCCTCTAGTCTGAATAACCATTAACAGTGAAAGAAATCACAAGATGTCAGATGCCAGTCTAGCAATTAGAGAGAACATGAGCTCTATAAGGGAATATGGATGATGTATGACCACTACAAATCAAATATTTCCAAGTCCACTAATAATTAATTATAAAAGACAGAAGAATGAGAGGATAAAATAAAATGTAGAATGAACAAGAATTCACAAATCAACCATAAAGTCATTCGAAGCAAGTCAGTTCAAGTTACGCTTTGGCATGCAACATAGTTAATCTGCATCTGCAAGATTAAGCATCAACACATGACCAAGTAGAACCTTGAACAATTAAAACTTTAAAAGAGAGTGACATAAGCAGATCCCTCAACAAATATAATAATAATATTAACTGCATCACCACATTACACAATCTTCATTGCGCATTGCAGAGGAGAATTGACCAAATTAAATAGCAGTTCTCCATGTAATTTATAGAAGCCCAGTGGCCAGTGTCAAATCAAGATATTTACTGGGTGAGTCAAATAATTAGTATTAAAAAAATTGACAACCTCTTTTCATTGAATGATATTTAAAATTATAACAAAATTTAAATTAAACAAGGCATGACTTGTCAGCATAATTTTATATTACAAGAACCTTGATCTTTTTTACAGCTAAAATGGGGTGTATATATATATATATATAACATAATTATTATTGACTTAGATTTTTAGCCTGCATCCTGTGTTTCTAATGGTTAGGTTAATTTAAAATTGTACCCAAACCCTTCCCCAGAGTGCCATGCCGCCTTTGATATCAAAGAAGATGTTGGAGCCAATAATACACTGATGCTTTTCAAGTCTCAGCTACCTGTGTGGAAATAGATGAACTTAAAGCAACACATCACAAGGAGTAACAAAAATATTGCTGATAGTACACACCTTAAAAGTAGTGATTAATCGAGGTTGGTCATCACTAAGTACCCCAAGCTCTGAAGACCAAGTATCCCCATTGCAGCAGCAATAATGACCTATAACACCACCAATGAGGGCAGTGATAACGGTCGAGTCTTTCGAGTCCAAGCACTTGTCTTCCCATCCAATCAATCCCCAAATAGTTACAACTAAAACCGTAGCTATACCGCTATTTGATAGAACTTGTATCCTAAAAAGAATGGGAGCATGGTTTATTTGTTAAGTACATAAAATCATCGACTAAGCTTCTCTACAAATATTTCTTGGCAAAACTGAATCAAAATTTTCATTCATGAAATTAATTTACTCCTAAGAATTTTATGATGAAAAAAAAAAATGATTAACTAATGAGTGGTGAATGGTTACCAATTTCTCTGACCGCCCTCTTTATATTCGGCGTCAATGCGTCGTTTCTTGTCCTCTCCGACCTTCGTAAGCTTGGAAGAAGTGAAAAAGAAAACCAGCAACACAGCTCCATACCTTCAGATAACTAAACTACATGTTATTCACACATCCATAACCCTATCCAAGTATTTGTTAAATAAATAAATAAAAGACCTGCTTCCGACGGCAAAATGAATTGTCATAACGAAGAAGCCGGAGATTGCGCCGGACAAGTCGAGAGATTTTCTTACGTAAGCTCTAGTCGCGACTAGGAAAGAGATTACGACCGCGATTAATGGTTGGATTAGAGATTTTTCCATCTTTGACACTGCAAAACAAACGGATTCGCACTATATAACTGATACTGCAACAATTCATGGTTTCTTTTGTAAACGAAGGAAACGGGAGATATAATTGTGCTGTGGACAATTTTGCAATTAAATATTTCCACCAATAGGAAGCACCAGTTTTTGTGGAACCCACGTTCATCAAATCAGTAATTGTGACAAAATTTTCACTCTCCCATTAAAAAATCGTGTCCACACTGTAATTACCATGTTCTTGTTTTTTTCTTATTGTTGTTTTTTTACACACCCACAAGCACATTGTCATGTTTTTCTCATTCTTTTTATTTCGTTTTACTTTTACACACTATACGTGCAAAGTTAAAAAATTAGCTTTTGACATTTTTGTGCTTTCCTTATTATTCTTTAGGAGCGCACAACATACAAGCACACATTACATTACATATCCATATTCTTATTTATTTGTCATAAAAACTTATTTCATGACTTCATTATGCACCCGAGTAATCACGTCTCTTTATGTTCAAAGCATCATACAGTGCAGTTGCAGAGTGCTTTTGAAAGACTACAACTCCCAACTCCCTAAATATGTACATGGCGCGGCCCAGACCCTCCAAACTCGATGTAAAACTTTTTCCTCTTCTTGTTCCGACTTCTAAACTTTAGTTTAAATCTGTCTTAATTCATGCAAAATAGGGAGATCATATTCTATACCTCTAATCATATCCCACTTTTGAAAAGTTGAGGACTATAAACTGCAACAGCTTTTTAGAATATGCTAAGTTTCGAAATTAGAGTGGATTTAAGACTACGTTATATAATTTCCCATTAGAATTTCATATTCATATATAAGATAAATATAATAAAGATTGAATCAAATAAGAGTAGGCCTTATAAAATTCAGGTGACCCAATTTAAGTCCTAACTCATGCCATTATTTAAGGCTAGACAACAATTCCCGCCGGCCACTGGACCTGGTTTGTAGTTTGCACCGTGCATCACATATGATTCTTCCTCTATTTAATTATTCGTGAATTTATTTATTTTTTTGACTTTGCAACCAAATAATAATAATAATAATAATAATAAATGAGCTTTTGACAAATTTTTTTTTTTAATTAGTAGATAAACCAAACTGGCATCAATGCTAAGTTGAAATCCATTAATAAACATCTCCAGTAAGCTTTAATCAAACACAAGGACCCGCTCTAAACAAATCTATAAAAGATGTTCTTAGCTGCATAACTTGCACTGTTTTAATACAGCCCAACTGACCATTTCTTGTGCCACCACAGAGGTCTACACGTTTATGTCACAAAACTTTCAAGAACTAAGCTCAAATTCAGAACAAAAATGAGACCACCTAATATACTGGTTCCACCACTACCAAAAGAGAAATCACGATGTTACATAAATGTCAAATTCGAACTTATGATACAAAGATATCTCATCACAATGTGACCCCCAACTAGGTGATTTCCAGATTGTGCAAACCGGCAACTCTTCCAAGCGAAAATTCTTAGTTTCACTAATTGTATTTGAAGCTAGACCAATAAAAGTATGCAAGTATATGACAGTTGAGGATGTACATACAAAAAAGTTTAAAAATAAAAAATTTTAAAGAAAAAGAAGGTACCTGACCAAGGAAGAAATCATATAGATAAATGGTTCTAGGGACAGGAGCCAAAAGGTTAATTAAATCTCCCTATACCCCTCCCTCCTCTTCCTCTCCCTCTTCCTCTCCCCCTTCCCCTTCCCCTTCCTCTCCCTCTGTTTTCCATTCCATGAATCCTATCATCATCTCTTTCATAATTAAACATGCTCATTTTAATATTCTCTGACGCTGAATCAGGCATTCCCCTTTGTACCTGAAGAAAGTAGAAAACCAGTGAAATCAAACATTGAAATCTGAAAGGAAATAGAAAGCAAGAGTCAAAGTTGAAAGTACACTAGCATGAGATTCTTCCAAATCAAGTTGGTTTTGAAGCTGCCATGCAAGATCCTCATCATTACTGGTATCAGGAAGCTCCTTTTTAATTGACAGATTCACCCCGCCTTTTCTCTTTTCCCACTCATCAAGGGTAAAAACTACTGGCTCTTCTTGCCTTCCTTTACCTCGATTTTTTCGGCCTCTAGAATGTTGTTTATCTCGATTAAGGTTACTCATTTTCTGGAGAAGCTTTTGAGAAGCCGCTTGATTCTGAACAGGAAACAATTCAACAGCTGCCAGAGTACAAAGATATATATTAGTATAGCAGTACAAATTTCTCTGTTTCTATACAACTGCCAGAAAGTACAAAGATTGGCAGTAGTTCAAAAGAAAATAATCACCTTCCATCCTTGTTCTTGATCTAAATATCGGTGATGGATCTATATGCTACTTTTATCATTACAATTAGATTTCAGGCATCAAGAAATGGTCTCATTCCGATCTTTTTCTATATATATTTTTCCCTTTCCCTCAGTAAATTGGGTAATCACACAATTTAACACTGGTCAATGTACATATGTTAGTATGGTGAGCTGCAGAAATTTGGTCTCCTCCTGGACACCCCCTTCCTTACGAACATAAGATATTACCATCTTGTTTGCAAAATGATATAGTCCATCAGTAGCTACGTAAGCTCCATAATGTTTTCTTGTGTTCTTACCATAAAATATATCCACATTATAGATCAGGCTACCTTAGGGTCATAGAAATAAAATTAAATTATGTGAAATCTGGAGGCAACATCACACCAAACAAAAGCAGGAATTAAATGATATAATGAAGTTGCACCTTCTTTCGGTCGTGCCTGGGAGCTACTTGGCTTTTCTTCAGTTCTTTCTTCAACAGAAGTCACCTGTACACTATTCGAGTTATTTGTTCTTATTAGATCATGGGTCTGCTGATTACTTTTCCACCCCGCTTCAGCAATTCCAATGGCTTTCATAGTACTAGGATCATTGGTCTTTGATGTTGATGGAGAGTCATCTACAAAGCATCAACTTTTGTTCATTGCATGAGCCATGTAATTGTCAACTATATGCAAATAACAATTACTGAGCGTAAATTTTATCAAAAGAAAAATTAATAGCTCCACTTTTCATGACAATTTTTTTATCAATGATGAGCAGCACACCTTTGTTCTTCTTTCACTACATGCTACTTAACCAAATATTTAAAAGGGTCCTTCACAGTGATAGGAAGAAAAAAAAAATGATAGAAGTAAATAAAATGCTATGCAGTAGTAATAATTAAATGCAACTAAAAAAAGCAAAAATATTAAATCAGGTATTGCATAGGACACAAGATACCATGATATAATCTGCCATGCTGAGCAAACTGATGTGAAGGAGCCCTGATCTGCAACTTCTCAAATGGAGGAGGACCACCACCATCACTTTCTTGTGGTGGCCTTACAGATGAGCGGGAGAACACCGAATATTTTTTATTCATCTCCCATTCTTCATGAAGTGATTGAACAACACCCCCTAAAATTGTAATCACTTTCGGATTCAAACATACTATACCACTATGTACCACAACTTTATTCTCCAAACGGACCTGCCAACCAAGATTACCAATATAAATAAAATATCATAAATAACATCGGCAACAACAATTAGATTTGAGTAGTAACCTAAGAGGTTCTTCTTAAAACTAATAACGTTTGGACATATCCCATGAACTAACTCACAACATCCCAAGCACAATATAACAGTTTCTGCACCATCATGATCTACATATCAATCAAAAGAATCTAACGGGTTGTTACAAGAAGTTGGACAAAAAGAAGTTCAAACAAAACAGTGATAATCATGATAGAAATTGCAAGTTAGACACAAAATAAGAATACCTTTGTACCAGGAACTACATCATTAGAGATAGCTGGTATATGCGAGTATTCTATTGCAGTTATTTCAGAGTGCCCATCCGTTAGAGTTAATCTTAGTAGACGCTCACTGCTTGAATTTTCAGAAAAATCGTCCATGCTGCTTCTAGATATGTCCCTAGCTGAAGATATCTGATTAACACAGACGAAGCACCCAATGTAAAGTCAAAATGGACATAATATAATGAAGTACGAATGTTTTTTCTTCAAACCAATAAACACTAACCCTTCATTATAAACTAAGAAAACAACACTCAGTAGTTGAAGAATAAACAACATACAAGACTGATCACCAGCTGATGTGGCTGTCACATATCAGTCATCCATTATGCGCTACAAGTGTAACAGGAATTGACACATGGCAGCCACGTACCTAAACATTTGAATAATTTTTTTAATCTTTTGGTAATTGTTCCCAAATTTTCAACAGAAAATTCACATCCATTGCAACTAAAACAAAACAATTCGACTCTCATAAGCTATGTTCGTCAGAAATTCAATTTACCAAATTTAATAATTTTTTTACAAAACCTAACATTGCATTCTAAAGTAACAAACACGATTACGTAAGACGCCCAAACAATTATGAGCAAAATTCAAGAAAAAAAGAGAGATTGCCTGGAGGATTTTGGGGCCTTGAATATGAGATAGCTTTTGGATCGGGTCAGGCAACGACTTGCCTCCGATGGATCGAAGGTCCATATTAAGTAGGTCCTGTTCAAGCGAATCGGCCACCGTACTGGTTTCCTTGTCATCGGCTAAAGCAGAGTGTATGACAATTAGGGCTCTAAGTTGCTGGATATCGCCGAAACACCAACCTCTGGTTCTTAGGGTTTCGATGACGGCCTCTGCTGAAGAATTGGAGCTTTCTTCCATTCTTGTGACTTTTAGCGCCTGTTTTGTGGTGTTTTGATTTTGAGAGATGTAGTTTTGGGAAGAAGTTGGGCCTTATTACACCCACAGCAGTCTATTATAGAGCAAACGACATGCGCCTGCCCAAGGTTTAGCGAACTATTAAGTTCCCACCCCTGATTTCATAAATTACAGATTCCCACCCTTAAAGCAACACCTTTTCATTTCTTTTAACATTAAAGGTTAAAATGGTCATTTAATAATTTTAATATTTTCGTTTCTTCCAAAACATCTCTCTCTCACCGTCTATCCCCCACCCCCTTGATCCCGCAAATCGTCGGCCACTGAAACTTTTTGCTTCGCACGGTCGCTGCTCATTGGCTGGATTTCGGCTGATTGAAGGCACCAACACCCCACCTGACACTAACGCCGGCTTATTCCCCCACCCTCATCAAAACCCCATAACTCCTTGGCTGCACCAGCTCACTGTTCGCCGACTGCCACAGCTATTCTTGTGCAACTACCGCGCACTTGGAAGCCTCGCCACCTCCAGTTTTCACCTCGAATCAAAACACATTTAAAACCTTCTCCTAATTGCTGGTTGTATTTGGTTGATTGTTGTGTGTAATCAAGTCGCCGACGACCCCCCTATCATCGGATTTCTGCATTCCTAAGCCACACCCACAACCTGCTCGAAGAAAAGTCACGCCCACAACCAACACCAAATCTGTTTTTTTGGGTAATAGAAAATATATTCTCTTCTTTTATATTATGAACTATGGGAGATGAAGAACAAAAAACGGTACCAAAGGGAGAGAAGTTAGAAATGAAATATGTCATGCAACACTCACGCTGATTGGTGAAGAAGCAGAAAGTTGAAGAATGGCTTCATTCGCACCACATTATTTATATATACAAGATAATGCTGGGTACGTTTGGTTCAGTATTTTGGATAGGATTTTAGGGATAGTATTGGATAGTTGGATAGGGTTATGATTACGAGAATAAGATTTTTAGAATATGTGTTTGGTTGAGTATTTTGACCTTGATATTTGTGTTGAATATTTGATTAATATATTTTTTTATAAATGATTTATTAATATAATATTTTGTTGAATTTTGTTAAAATAATGTATTATTATATATATAACTTATCAAGTTACATTTTAATAATACTAAATATTTTATTGGTAATTTTGTCACCCGTAGATATTACTAAGAAAAACCCATATTAATTTCAAGTACTAATTCAACTGTTTAAAAAACATCATATCAACTATATGACAAAAGTCCTAATTAACACCCTTACAATCATTCTTACCATATACTCCATAACAACTACGACATAGTCCACTGTGCTGCCCACAGTGCATTCGTTATGTTATCCCGTATAGTCGTCATGTTGTTTATATAAGTTTTGCGGTAGACTCGGTCCTTCTCCATTTCGGCCATATTCTGTCCCGTTTTGACGATCACAATATTTTGCTCATTACCTGTATTATTATTGGTTTGTTCGAAGATACGGTCGTCCATATTGTGCATTCTGATAAAATTATGAAGTACACAACATGCCATAACATCTTCCCTTGTTTGTCCAACGGGTAATTGTTCATTCCATTCAGAATACGGAACCGTCTTTTCAAAAAACCAAAGGTTCTCTCAACAACATTGCGGAGTGAAGAATGTCTGTAGTTAAACAACTCTTGCGGGCCCTCTTCGGTTTACGGCGATGATCAGAAATATGGTAAGCACTTGCCTATAGGGGCGAGGAACCCGTCTCTATTTGGATAACCCGCATCAACCAAATAGTATTTCCCTGTGATATAGCAACATTTTATTGAATTACAGGCTTCAACAGTGGAGCAAATACGCTATAATACGTCAAGAAAATACTTATACCTGGTGGAGGATGTGGGGAATCCAGAATTAGGATCATCAAGAATTGAATTTAAAACTCTTGAGTCATGCGCAGATCCTTCCCATCCAGTAACGACATAAGTGAACTCATGTTAAAGTCGCATACACCATTACATTCTATGTCTTCGTTCCTTTGCGATTCCGGTACCTATCGGCAAATTCACTGGACCGAAGCGTATACATGTGTGCCATCCATGGCTCCAATATAGTCCTATCATGAAAATTGAATTTACTCATATTAACCGACTATAAAATTAATAACACAACGAACTTAACTATCTACTAATAGAAAACATATGAACCAGTACCTTAAAGAAAGGGTAATATTTTCTGTTGGCTGATATTCCCATGGACATCATTGAAGTCAGTGGTCTGATAAACTCTGTCTTCAACTCACATATAGCGTCGCAAACTGCGGCAACATGTCTAGGATCGTCTCACCCGAATGTTGGAAATCCTCCATCATTGTCTGATTGTCTCGTTTTTTCCAACGATTGTTGAATATCAATAACTTGTTCTCCAAACTCGTATTCCTGGTTGGTTGCAATTTGCCTTGATTGGACAAAATTTCACATAATTATGTAAAACGTCTTTGTCTATGCGGCACTTGTCATAGATCCTGTCAGGATGACCATTGAGTACTTCGAACATGTACTAAGACCAGTTAATATGGATGTATGTCGTGGTTCAGGCCTACTTGCTTCTAACGGGCAACACCGCAGAGTGCAATGGCTATATCTGTCAGTATTTCTTCTTCGTCCTCTCATCTTTAGCACGTCACTTCTTCCTGTACGGCTAGATGACGCCATTTAAACCTACACATTTTCAAAACATTATCAACAATTAACAGTTGTTGTACTACTTAGCAAAATATAACAGTGAATGTTTAATTCTAATGACAATCCAAAACGGTGTTTAACATGTAATATCGATAAAACAGTACCACAATTAATAAGTTCATACAGTTAGCGTTATAATTATAATTGTAATGACAACGGCCCACTGACGCATACAAAATTGTTGCCAAACACTTAGGAAATATAGTGTCATCTACTTATTGGAAAATTTGTTATAAATCCAGTTAGCCTTTTCCTCAAGCGGGAGTTTCACGAATATCTCCCGCACCCTAGATTTTTTATAGTACTCGACAACCGGAGGTAAAACTGTGTCGGTACTTGCATGGCTTCAATTTCAATACAATTGCTTATGGAAAAGGATCAGTGGAGCACTGGTGTTCTCTCTTTCCCTCTCATCTGCACTGCAATTGCTAGCCCTTGATCCCATAGTCCGCTTCTCCGCAAGTTCGTCCGTCAAGCAAAAAATGGGATCCGCAAGTGATTGTCCTCGGCTGCTTCTGTTCCTCCTATTTCTCGCTCTTCCATGGCCAGATGTGTTTGGTCGTTTTTCCCCTGTCTTCCGATCAGGATCAGGTTCAAAGTCGCTACCATCCATGGGAACCGCGTCAGGATTGGAATAACTGGAGTTCTCCACTGGTTGGATGTAGATGTGTACCATATCTTCCAGTGGCAGTTTGCTTCTCAAATATTATTTCATAAAGCTCCTTATGAGAAGTCCCTTATGGTAAAATTATGTCGCCAGTGGTTTTGCTGGTAAGTTAAAAGAATAATATATTATATTTAGCAGTCCAAAAAAAGCATACATTTACGGTGTCATTGTAATATTAGTTAAAAAATATGAAATTTTAATATGAAAATTTACCTTGACATATTCTTGCCAAACCTCAACAGACACGTTGGACTTTGTGACCGTGATCCCACCCGAACCCCATGTGTTGCACAATTTCCGCCATGCTTGATAAGTTTTTCGCAGGCGAAAGAACTTGAGGCAATTGTGTGACGTTGAGTCTCCTACCGCCACTGATGATATGTCGTCCAACATGCCTGGTAATCTGTTGTTTTTATTGCGGTACCGTGCGATTTTTGGCCCGCTCAGATAACAGGACCATAAATTTTGTGTTCATCTCAGCAGACAAGGCCACAGAATCACTCACTAAGGACAGTACGGTAAGGGACAACAAACATTGGGACACCATACGAATCACCAATCACTTAAATATAATACTAACATTGTGGTGGAATACATACACGTAAACTTATACCTCGTTCGATCATCCGACACTGCTTGATGACGTCAATGCAGGGGCAGATAACGACATGTCGACCAACTGGGTGTATGACGAACTCCAATTCTGGAAAAACGTTGAAACTTTCGCCTCTGCTTCAGTAGTATCAACCACCTGCGATGTTAGGGCAAATTTACTGACATCTATGCATTGGCGTAATTTGTTGTTATGATTAAGAACGACGTCGAATCTACAGAACAAATATATCAGTTAGTGAAATCCGAAAAAAATAATTCTAATTATCCAATAATTCATCCATTACATACAAATGTTACATACAGAACATATGAAGCTGTACAATTTTTTGACACTTGTGTTAAAAGAAAAAAAGTACTAACAATGGCAAAATTGAAATAGAAATAAGTACAATTACGATGTATGTCTTCACATAAGCTAACTGGTTCGCAAAAACCAACTGTCTCTTTACAACATATTTTAAAGCTGAAAAAAAAAAAAAAAAAAAACATTAATCTCTTCGCAAACTCCAGCCCCAAACAAATTCATACCCACATCATACAGACAACATATTTACAAACTTGCAAAAAAAAAAAAAAAATTTCAAAACAGCCTTTTCCCTTCTCTGAATAAATTCACGCTACAACATTTATAAACTAGCAACAAATCAACAAAAAAAAAAAAAAAAAAAAAACGATAGATTAAACTAATTCGCCAAACTCCAACACCAACAAATTGACGCGCTCATCCAACATGTACAACACATTTACAAACCTGCAAAAAAAAAAAAAAAAAAAAAAAAAATCCAAACGTCCCTTCACTAAATCAAATTTTCCGATGACAATCTGATGGTTTGACGGTATTTGTGGCATAACATGAACGATCGGAGTGTTTGCGGCTTGACGGTGGGTATCGTGGTGGTCTGTCGGGTTGCGGTGAACGATCGAGTGTTTGTGGCTTGACGGTGTTTGGCTTAACGGTGAACGATCGGAGTGTCTGTGGCTTGGAGGTGGGTATCGTGGTGGTCCATCGGGTTGCGGTGAACTATCGGAGTGTTTGTGGCTTGACGGTATTGTGGCTTAACGG